GGGGAATTTTGACCTTCGATGTAACTACCAAGAACTGGCGAATTACAAGCACACCCTCCTTATTCTTACGAACGTCGCCAGTCCTAATTGAAATTGTCAAAGGTTCTGTGTTGCCAACTTCAACTTGGAACAAACCGCGATTGGACATCAGCTGACTCGCACTGGAACCATCACTTAGAGTAGATACGACGAGCCAATGTGTTCACCGTTTGTGCGTTGAGAGATTGCTTTCGGGTCAAATCCAACTTCCACTTGGGGTTTCGGGCTAAATCTAGATCAACTTAGCAAGTATTGACCTACGGGATCATACAATTTTGGAGTAACAATTTTAAGATAATGCTTTGGTCGCATATTACTAGGAATGGATTTCCGTTCCCTCAGAAATAGAGGAGTGTTCGCAGCAAGCGAATTAGACGATAAGGCAACTCAGCCAAAGGGAAGAACATCTTCATGGGATCCTGGAATGTCCACAATCGCTTTCAGTATCGACATCGCTGAGATCATTTTTCTGACTTTCGCGGCGCAGGAGACGCAGGCCAAAAGGCTTGCTGCAGGAGGAACGCTGGACCATCAAAATCTCCGGTTCTTGCAGTGAGTGGGGAATATGTCAGAAGTCGGTCCCGTTCGATTCCAGCAAAACAACTTCCTTGGGCACCTCGCACACGTCTGTCATGATATTTTTCTTCACTCGGGCTACCATAAACGCAAGTATAGTATAGTCAAGCCCCAGCTGGGTTCCGCAGACTTCTAATTCGACTGGTAGCACATAAAAACTCCACGAAGGCCTTTCCCTGTGCCAGTCGCATGCGAACATGGAGTAAGCGTCACGAGCGCACTTCCACGAACATTTTTATCCCACACCGGATGGATGCCCGATGATTCAGTGGGCGCTTGAATGATGTGAGCGGAAAATGACAACAAGCGACCATTTCATGAAATCTATTGATGTGTGTGTATCGAGTTTATCGCAACCGGTGAGCCGGAGGACACAGATGATTCATCGCTTTGCCATGAAATCATGGCAACAGGTTTTGATTCGTTCGAAACTAGGTGAGTCTCCTGTGCACAATTCACCGAAACGCAATGCTGATTACTCCTGTCATCTGTCTCGAGCAATATTCATCCGGGTGAAATTTTCGCAACAAATGGGCGCTTTCGTCTACAATCGCGTCATTCAATCTGCCAGAGGTTCAACAGCATTTGCCCATACGAGCATCCGGACTCGGATCCGTCATATCAGCGAAGTGGGCATCAGACATATGCGGCCACTGACATGCTAACTGACTGACAAATTGTCACCGATTTCAACGGTTGGCGGCTAAGGCAATAGGTAAGGTCCATAGTAAGAGTACCAATTTGGTCTAAAGAAGATAACTGGTAGCTACTAAGGCCAACGTCCAGAGGTACACGTATTTATTACTTGCATTATTGAAGAAGCAGGTACGATTTTCAGTTCCGTCTTACAGTGTCTTCATGGAACAAGTTTGTCGGAACCGCTATCTAATAAAGCATACGTGCCAACAGTCCGCAAGGGATCTACCAAACGCACAAGTAGGACTTCGCGCGACACATTTCCTAGTTATAGTGGTGGTATGACAGTTGTCTGATTCCTCCTGGGAATCCTAGTGGCTCATTCGTTATGAAATAGCGAGTGATGATTCTCTTGAAGGTGGACAGGCTGTAACTCTCTCTGTTCCGAGAACCAGCAACGCGGTGACCCATCTTCAGACAATTGAAGCATCCGCCCGTGGCTGTAACCAGTTTCCAGAGATCAGGGACATACAAAGATTAAAACATCGGGTATGATGACGTCTTGTGGTCACAGTTATAAAGCAGACACAGCGATTTCTTCAACGTTGCATCACTTAACGGTTTTACTTGACTTCATTGTTCGAAGAGAGATAGCACAAACTCAGTACCGAAGAAAGGAACGGGTGGAATTGAAGGACTGTGAGAAACTTATCCTCAGAAGCATGCTACCACCGTCCTCTTTGGATGATCCACGTCAGTTTGCGCACAAAAGTTTAAGGTACACAAAACGCAGTGGCTCGTCTACTGCATTCACTGTTATCGTCGCTGGCCAGTAAGAACTAATTCCACATATGTCTGCTTTCTTGACTATAACAAAACCTTCAGTTGTGTTAACCGGAAATCGCCGCTGCGAGATTCACACGTTTGATACTCAACGTTCCCTAATCTTCTTGCCAAAGGAATATTTCGCCAAACGTACTCATGCTGCCAAGTTTGGCGACAGAAGCTTGTTGTCATTTGCCATAACTACCGGTGCGCTTCAAGAAGCGGTTTTGTCACTATTCGTATCCTCCAATTAGGTCAGCTCCATGCCTGTCCTCAAATAACTCATCTTGCTCAATTATGCGTGAACAATGTAATTTCCAGCCTCTACAAACAAGTTGTAAGGTTGTTTAGATGAACTAATGCAATGGTCGAAATCCCGATCCTTAAAGCTGAACGCGTCCAAGTGTAATAACAGATTGTTTTCACTTCATAAAGCAGCTCGTTACTATAAACTTGGCACTGACTACCTCAAACTACAAATTAATGATGAGAGTTTGAGTTTCGAAAGGTCAGTAAAGGACCTCAGTCACACTAAGCCATAAATTACCGTGGGCACTCCACATGATTGAACTATTCACAGAAGGCAAGCGACTTTGCTTTTACGTCTGTCGATTGCGAGATCCTCCGTATCGCACAGTTTGATCCGAAGTTCATCACTGTGTGTAACCTACCGGTAACTTCTCCATGCTTTTGTGTAGACATTTCATGCTGACTGACAGGTTGTCGAAGCAATTGTGGTGAAGCTTTCAGTGTTACAAATCGTTAGATTTGATTAGCGTTTTTTGTACCTTCTGATGACACACTTGGTTCAATGATTGCACGATCCCCTAAAACGTTTGCCCTAGGTGAGTCGCGGGCTACGCCATTCTTCGCTCTTGCTGAATCACTCACCATTCTCCGTAGCATGTATAATATATGTTGGGTCCAACTGCCTCCATTTTCGCTATGTTCCGTATTTGATACATCTCGTAGATGTCGTCGCTACCGACTAGTATCCGAGGTGCCATACAACAATTCGTGTGACCCCCTTCGGAATACGCCGTCCGCCATATTGAATTTTCATTTTAGTGAGCACGTTGCAGTGCATTTGCATTAATTGTTTTCTCACCCACTGTACAATTTTATTCAGTTTACGCAATGTAGGGTGGAGAAGATAAGCCATAACCTTACGTGGTAAGTGCCGCAGAGTTAGCCTCTCCACCTCTTTAGGAGAACGATCCCTTATTATGGTTCATACACCTAGAAGCTACTGCTCACAATCATAAAATTTCTGAGTGTGCTAATTACCACCAACCCATAGCTCGGTTTCTTCAGAGTATATCTTCACAGGTGAGAGGCCGAATACGTTGACCCGCTCCTGAATCGAAACACGAGACTCTTAAGCAACCTACTACCCAGCGAATCATGGCTTCTGACAAGGTCCGTTTACATCTAGGGATTTGCATTCAGGGATTCGTAACTAGGGAATAAGATGTGCTCAACACAGTGGCAAGAAATGCAACAGCTCCTTGGCATGTCCAACATGGACGTAGGGATTCTCCGTGAGATGCGGAAAACACACGGACTATCCTCACCGTACCAAGTGCCCTGCAATTCGCAACAGCCGCAGACCTCATGTGTAGTTGAATCCAGCGATTCAAGTTTTCAGCGCAGTTCGGTTTCGTTCAGCAGTGAGTCGCAATAGTTGGTACACCAGAAAGTCCGTATACTGACGTCCGGAAACCGTCGATGCTTGGGTTGCTACTCCGTAAAATAATAAATAGTACCAGAGATCAGTACAGAGTTTGTTGTGTTGGGTTTCCCTGTTACCTAGGTGCTGCTTAACTTTTCTAAGCGACTGCCACTTACAATGATTACTGCGTATACAACTGGGCTAGGTACGAAGTGTATTTTACAACTGACCAGGTAAGTAACCCGACTGTGGAAGATTACTTGTTGATAACGGGAATCGATAGCGAGTTTGCTCGGTAATGTAACATTAAATTGTAATATCAAGGTAAAAAAACGTTTGCCAGACAGTGCAGCAACATACTCAGCCGATTCACTAACGCTTTAATGGTAGCTGTGTCGGATCCATCATGCGCACACTCTCGATCTGACCGTTAACCGAGCAGCAAAATATCGATGTAAGGAGAAATAAAAAGAGGTATGAGGGTCACCTATCAATATTTATACCACAAGTGCGAAAAGAAGTGGGGATATAGGACACATTCCAATTGTCAAGGTTAAGACAATGGAGTTTCCATTACACTCCGACAAAAACCACAGGAGTTGTAGTGCGAAAATGTTGGGACAGACAGGAATTTCTCAGATACACCACAGAAACAATGCTGCAAAGGAGTACGATAAACATAGCTTGATGAGGAATAAATACGTGGTCAATACATCATCCGTCAGGATGGACGCCAGCCTGACTTTTACCGATTCTTTTCTCTTCAGAACCAATAAGTGGCGACAGCTTGGTGCACGCTGGTAGCTTACAGGCAAGTGAGATCACATCGTTACGAAGATCACTTACAAAAGACGTCAAAAAGTGAAGTCAAGACAGCCAGTAGTGAGGCACTACTGCGCGTCAGTAGTGCACATGGGATTTCGCCTAGGCCAGGTGCCTTGTTCTGCTTCAGCTGCGATAGCTCGTGTCAATACAGCGGCAACAGATTTCTTGGATGCAGTACAATGCGGACGGGATAAGTACTTTGAGGCAACACTTACATCGAGGCTTCCCTACGCTACGCTACTGGCTACACGCTACTCAACAAAGCACAGATGATGTCACCTCGATTGGTGACGAAATGTTTGCAACAAAATTTGCGAAGCTCAACGAACAGTTCGCCTACCACCAGAACCACCTGAGTTACCAATTTTCGCTCTTATTCCAGTGAAAACTTCGTCGTCACGGGCTGCGTGATCTACACCGCAAGCACCGGAACATTGAACATATCAAGCTAACGGATGCAAGGCCAATGAACACCAAAGTTACTTGGATTTAGTCTCGATAGCTATCATAGTTAGGAAAATTACAAGACAAAGTGTTGTCCTACCAAGCCAGGGGTCGAAGTCTCCACCCGAACAAACAGAGTCGGCGGTTTTAAAAATGGTCATACAGCGCGGCCAATTGTACCAGGCTATCAAAGTTCGAAAATTGAAATGAAGATAGGAAATGAAGATAGGTAAGACCTCGGAAAGAAGTGACGAAAGTGAGATCACTGGATGCTACACTGCTTGTAAAATCATAGTAATACAGCGGTTTTCCCAATTTTTTAAAACAATGACGTAGACTACCCAGTGTGCAGGAGGAAGAGGATATGCAACTAAAAATGGAAGCCGAACTGATCTACCACAAAGGAGAACAGCACGAATATCTAACCAGCAGGGCACGGTCTTCTAGAGACTAGGAGACGCGGGTGCAAACATGCAGGAAACAAGTACCACTGGACACATTCGGCGTGCGTTCGGTCGTAAGAACCGGAGTCGCTGAGCAAATAACTGGATGCGATAAAATGGTGGGAAAGTGCCTCCCTGGCGTCGATAATGAGAATACAGAGTATGAAAAATATGTATTCTCGGAAATGTTAGAAGTGTACAGCGGTGGGCCGCAGTCTTATGGAATAGGAAAGTACAAAACGAAGATAGAAAGCGAAAGTATGTACCCGACCGTCGTATCTGGTAAAATACAAATGTCAGCACACACACATATTTTTAAACGGCCATTTGCATTGGTAACTTCGGATGGGGGTGATAATCAATCAGTTGAAAATCTTCAAACTTGAAATCATTTATATCTGACACCTGTCGTGTAATTTTCAACTTCGGAAATGGTCTAGGTAACCGCTTGATCTGGAATTGAAACAACGAAGATGTAGGAGGTAACAAAAGCCGGTGAGTGAATAAAGACAGAATAACATGCAAACCATGAATGACACAACCAGTTAAACTAGCGGCAATAGAGGCACAATGTGATGTGGGCGCACGTCGCATTCCCAAGCACACAAGTTAGAAAAACGGTAGACAAAAAGAAAGAAGTGTGTAACATACGGTCAGAGACATTGACATAGTCGGACTGAAAGGCTGTGTTCGAAGTGAAGCAGCACAAGAAAGAACTCAGATGAGCTCGGGTTGAACAATTTAGAATAGATTTACAGAGGCTGACGTGGAAGCCATACAAGAATATGGAGAACGTCAACGTGACCAAATCATTCGGCCAGGTTCTTCATACTTTGTTGTCACAGTGTCCGTAGTGGGGCCCATGCAACATGGTCCGCTCAGATTTTGTGGTCACCCTCAGGCTCTACGATTTGGTTACAAACGTTCCACCATCATCAGTGCGGATTAGCCAGCAATTTCCTAGCAGTAGTCGGTGGAGGGCAAATCTAAGAACGCATGTCGCCAACCATTACTCCGTCCCTTATACACTTTTGAGGGGTAACAAACAGACAGACGAATGGAGCAGTGACTGAGGACATCCAAACTTGGATTTGCCTTATACCATCTGCTACTAAGAAACGCAAACTATCTTGAAATGATAATGTCACTTCGAATGGTTGCGAAACATTTGCAACAAAAATGTCCCAGCTAGCGAAGACCGCAACAATTAGACAAGCCCATGGAGGTACCACTATTTCCATTACTTCCAAACTGGGATACACTAGAAAGTGGTTCGGCAAAAGGTGAAGCGATCGGGCTAACGCAGCTGATACAGGCTAGACCTAATGTGCCTCCGAAGCAACAAATGTCACAGTTCAGCATAACTATCTTGGTGCTTCCCCAGAAGAAAATACTGCTATGGAAATTGAATATTCCCTGAACATTTTCAAGCACAGATAGAAGTCACTTAAGAACGTAATAGCAGTGGAATCGTATCTAATGCATTTTATATACATCGGTTATGAAACACGCTGGACGCCAAGTAACTTAATCCACAAATATGAGACAGTTGGAGAATCAACAACCGTTACGAAAGTGAATCTTTAAAGGAACAGGAATAATATGGTTAGAAAACATGTCTAAAATGGATTTTAGTGGAAGTGTATTTTCGAAAATGAGCCGGGATGGTAATTCCATGGGGCTGAGAGTGTCGAAATACGGATAGAAGTGTAGTTGCAGTGAAACACGTTAAGGAATAACAAGGGCGTAATCTCCGTATGCCACATAGACGTCACGAAGATATTGAACCATCACGTAGTGAGATGTTTTCGCGTAGCTCAAAAATATAATGCCCCAGAGCTAATCAAGTCAGTGGTTAGTGGTCGGACAAACTAAGCTCCGGAGTCCACGTTAGCCGAGGTTGGGGAGATATCGATGACCCCTTCGTTCAAAACCTAGTCGCATCACCATTATTATGTACATCAGCTAGAGGAGGAAACATCTTAGCCACTGTGCATGTGAGCTGAAATTAGAAGCCAACCCCCTATCAAAGTAAGGTGGGGGAGGGCGAAGAATAGAGGTTTGGAAATATGGGGGACACAAGTGAAGTTGGAACGGGACAATAAGGGTGAAAAAGCGTAAGAGGGGGAATAAGAAGACGGCAAGACTTGAACAGTAGCATCCAAACCCTTATTCACCCTGCTCGATGCAGCAGATAGGGCGCCGTTTACTATCCTCTGCGACAGTTTCATTTCTCACGCTCCTTCTCCACGTCATTGATTGTCCACCGCGGCACTTCTTACAATCGCTTACGGGGAGCGCAAATAACGCCAACCGGGGAAGGCGATGGGCTGGCATGCGCAATACGCGGCCGAACCAACGCATGCGGTGTTGGAGAACAACATTCTGAAGATTGGCATTATACGCTGCAAGCACTCATCAACCGGCATACTGGCGTCCAGGGTGACGAAAGCTCGTGCTGGAGAGGAAAAGCTAATGATCAGCACATAGAATGAGCAATCTCTCCGTTGTCTGAGCGAACATCATCATATTCATGCGGTCCCCCAAGGTAGCGCTCACATGGCAGCAGTCGACTGACACGCGCATTGAAGTCTCCTGTCAAAACAATGATGTCCGTTTTAGGAGCCCTAAGGAGCAGCTCATGAAGATTCTGGTAGAACTGGTCCTTGATTGCGTCCGAGCTACAGTCCATGGGTGCGTAGGCAGAGATCACGAAGAGAGCACGCTTTTCGACTCGACGTCTGCTAACTCTACAACAGTCATGCAGCCTCATCGCACAAAGGCAACTAGTGATCGGAATCCAATCAATCACGACAGCCTAGGCTCTACCACCGAGGGCGATTCCAACACCAGCTTGTCAAGATGCGGCAGACTCGGCATCACCAGAGAGGCGGAGATGGAAGCGGGTGCATGGGTGGAGTGGTGACACCAGCTGGCAGACCGAGTTGGAAGCATGGAATCGCGTTTCATTCATGCAGAAGACATCGATTCCAAGAGTCTCTAGCCTGTGTGCAAATCCAGCTTGCTGACCGATCTGCAGTAGTGTGCGTACGTTGAAGGCTGTAAGTTTGAACTGTGTTCCGGGTTGCAGGAGCGAAGATTGGAGACTTCGGGGCTGACAACTCTCTGTTGAGCAGTGTGTTGTTGAGTTGGCAGATGTCACGAGAACAGGTTCATGGGTGGAAGTTGGCTTAAGCCAACAATCCGCGGATTATAAGCCCATAATTTACGTACAGCATGAGTCGAAACGTTGTTTCTGTTGTGGGGGGGGGGGGGAGCGCCATCCTCGCGCAATAGCCTGCTAACGCCCAGTTACTTCAGACCAAGGAACCACTGACCAATAAGGTTGGGAACCCTACAAAACCACACCAACGATTGGACGTCGTCAAAGATGCGTAGAAAAAAACATGTTCATTTTATTTGTTCGTCTAAGACCGCGTGTGAGAGTCCTCAAGGAGATCTAAAAGAGAAAGTGAAAACAGGCTCTCGCGTCGATTCAAAGCTAATTGCAATCAGAAAGCAGCCGATAGTGACGTCCTACCAAATAAAAAGGAAGCAGGTGCATCTTCAGTTGAACATGTTCGCAGCGTTGGGCTGAGCCGTTTTAAAAGCAATTTAATCGGCTAAAGTCAGCAGGTAGGCCAGTTGTACGTTAGAGCGGACTGTTGAAATTGAATAAAGCAGCACTTTATACTTGGATACTCGTACTTTTAGATGACTTTTGTGTTCCGCTAGATAGTTCCGATTCACATGGGAGCCTGGCGTTCGAAATGCGGCAATCATACAGTAGTCAGTTTGGTTTCTATCTGCTCTCAATTAATTGCCTGTCGTTCTATATAAACTGACTAGCGTTCGTGGAAGTCAGGTTTCTGAAGATTAAACCCGGTCTAGTCGAAGTCGAGGCCGCATAGACTACATCTTCACTCTGCGTCAGTTACTGGATCTCCGTCACTCATACTGGCGATCCGCCCTAGTCGTGACTCGCCATCAGAAATACCTCCGATTCAGTGGATCGATATACAATACAATGAATTTCTCTTGTAACGGTTCCTTGACGCTCTGGCCGTCGCAGAGGATAAGTAACGGCGCCCCATCGGCTGCATCGAGCAGCGTGCCTAGGTGTTGAAATGATACTGCTCAAGCCTTCGCGTCTTCTTATTCCCCCCTCTTGCGCTTTTTCATCCTTATTGTCCCGCTCCAACTTCAGTTTTATGCACTTGTTTCCAACTCTGCAATTTTTCAGCCCTCTTCCATCTTGTTTCAGTGGTCGATTGGCGTCAAATTTCGACTCACACGCAATCGCAGGATGTCGCTCCAACCTAGTCGACTGCCGCGCTGGGGACCGAAGGGAGATTGACACATCTGATTGAATACAGTAATTGACATGACAAAAAGCCGACTTCAATGGCGTTGTCGTGAGTTTCTTGGTCCTTCTTCATCCGGCTTAACTTCCTAACACAACCACGATCCCGGTCTCGAAGTAGCTTAAACCATAATATTTATTAGCTCGCTTTTTCGTATATTATATATTTTTGTACTGCGTCACAATAGTTGCAGTGTTTCCCACCTCCAGCTAATGTGTAATGATGATGATATTTGGCTGCTTAATCCGGAAATGAGTACTCGAGATATACGTAAATATTACAAAGATGCCTTACGTGCGTAGTTCTCGCGGGGTGAATGTTTATGGTAGACTGTCATCGTTACTTGGCATCGTCGGCGGCGTAAGTGAAGGATGCCCGCTATCAGCCTTCCTTTCTAACATCGCTATTGACGAAGTTATGCGAACTGCGCTCAGTAGACACGACTTAGGTGTGGAGTTACTTTCAGGTAATTGTACTCTCCAAATCGAGGATCCCATCGATATTGCAATACTCTGACAGATCACAAGGGAACCAATACCACTGGACAGATCAAAACTGACTGTCGATCGTTTGCATAACAAACGACGGTTTCACTACAGAAAGGGAGCCGGCCCGGTTGTTGAATCAAGGCAGAATCAGTACCGAATATCGAACAATAATTAAGGCTGAAGGATATAAGACCTGGTGAGCACACACGACTTGTGCAAAGTTTCTCGTGTCTTAAGGAAAAAGTGAGCCGAGTATACAGTTATTCATCGCATCTCTGGGAAGATACGACAAACAGGAATAGTTAGGTTCACCAAAACGAGGTGAGATCACATAACGGTACTAAATCGTCAGAATTCATATTGGAAGTAATAGATCAAAACAACATTGTTCAAGTGCTGGGCACATCAGACACAGGAAAGACGGATCACTCAGAACCTGCACTTACCTGTTCGCTCAAGGCCTCGCGATGATTGGTGTATATGTGAGCGTCACCCATGGTGTGCACAAATTCACCGGGTTTGAGGCCCGTCAGATGCGCAATCATGAATGTAAGCAGAGCGTAACTAGCGATGTTGAACGGCACACCAAGGCCCTGAAACAAAGGAAAGACTGCAGCAAGGTACTTTCCAACATGTCAAACGCACCGCTGAGGCAGGCATTCAAGGTATACGGCCTAGTACCAGTTAGTTAGTTAGTTAGTTAGTTAGTTAGTTAGTAGTAGTAGTAGTAGTAGTAGTAGTAGTAGTAGTAGTAGTAGTAGCTGTTGCAGCAGCAACAATAACAACAGCAGTGATATCAAATGATTGAAAAGGGCATGACCCACCATATCGGCAGACCGCTGGTATAATTGGCACGAAAGTTCGTTATTGGCCACGAAAAACTGGAACAAACAATGACAAGGAGGCAGTGCCATTTGTTTCAAATCTGCCAAGGTAAAAAAAGTGATGGAAAAGTATAGTACGGCGAGATTGAAGATTATAACTGAGTTAAATGCCATTGGAGGAAGTTAAAGGCTTACCCCGCACATTCCAGGAGACAACGAGCATACGACGATCCCAAGGCCGCTCACGGATAAGCCGGATGACTTCGGATAGTTGATCAACACCTTGTCCAGTATAGTCAGTCGACGAGTTCACATAATCCGCCCCGCTGTGACGCCACTGGAAGCCGTAAACCGGACCAAGATCACCTGGGAGAGAAAACGGCAAAAAAGAAGTTTAACAAAGAGCTCATCCTTATCAAGAGGTTTAATTATTTTAATTTATGATCGTGTCCCTGATGCATTCGTTCGAATTATAAACTGCTGTCATCAATATATGGATAGATAACGGATATCGGAAATCGAACATGACAGAGCAATCTAGAGTTTTGTCAGAGGGCGCAATACTACCCGGTTACCCAAACCGAAGTAGGGAATCGACTTAGGGAACACCACCCCGAGCCTTTTACTGACTGGCCTATCCGTTAGGCAGTGGAGCAAAGCCAAGGAATCGCATCCAATGGGAGCCGATGACCCAGTGTTCAGTTCATGTGCCTTTCATTCGATCCGTTATCAAACAGGGGCCCAATCCACCCCACGATCTCAGCAACAGGCTGCTGGAATACAATGCCCGACCAGTGAAGCAAGAGGGTGATTTCATTTAATAGCGAGCCAAATCTGCAAAGCCACAGCACTGCTGAAAGGGCATAAGTGTTTTTTAATACAGAGAATGTTTGCCAGGCGAAAATCCACATTATCCCGGAACACTGCCGCAGAAACACTTATTGGAACGGGCTAAACCCGAACCATTCAGACGTAACCCCGAAGCTGTCGGACAAACCAGTACACAGTCACCGCATTTCACTGTTCGAACAGGCTGTGTACTACCAAGCATGGTGATGTTGTCGGGTACGTTTCTGTCGAGTCACCAGCGGCTAATCCCCGAACGCAGCAGTGTTTGTTGATGTACGTAAGGACGCAGTGTGCATCCATGACAGATGGGATGGTTAGCAATTTTCAACTCATGCTTCCTGTCTATGTGCAACTGGATACTGTAGTAAAATGAGGAATGGAATAAAACTGAGGCTCCAGAGGAATATTCGGAGGATATCCGTCGAATATACTGACTAACGTATCTAGTAAACAGAAGTTTCGGAGAGTGCATAACAATTTCAACCTATATATCGCGGTGAACGGAGTAGCAGGCAAGCAACGAGCTGCAGTTTGACTGCCAGTCAGAAGCAACCCCGTTGAAAAAAGGAGATGGCATTAACAAAAGCGGACACGACAGATAGAATACAGGACTACGCTCAAAGAAACAAAGCATTTACAATGTTAGAACAATGAAGAGTCAGTAATAAAATACAATTCTTGGATGATTAGGAGCATGTCCGTACCCAAAACGGTCATCCAGATGGTGCCGCGAAGGTTAAAAATCGAGCCAAACCAACAGACTCATCGGTGACAGAGAGTAAATCAAACTTTAGACAACACTAACCACACGATAGTGGTGGAGTACAGTCGTGGTTGGTGCTGAAAGACGATATCCACCTAACAACTTAGAAGCCGCAGGATGGCTTCGGAGGTGGTCTGTCGGTTGAATGTAGGGGGATGTACCAGCAGTATGCCGGTACGCAGTACCGACACTTCGCAGCCACGCGACCACCACCGGTCGCTTGTGGGCTGGATAAACCGCGAGGTTGCCCACACCCACGCGGAATCGAACCGGTGACCTCCAGATCACATGGCAAGTTTGTAATCTTTCCGGCCGCCTGCCGATCAAAAGGAGTGCGGAAAAACTACGTCGCAGAAGCGTTAACGCAAAAGGAGAAAGATATCCGGTGCGATTGCAACCAGATAAAGTAGAATGTGAACAAGTTGAACACGGTGTAGGAAAATAGAGATCAGATGGCTTGCTTGATAGGTTGACGTGCAAATCATTACGGACTGATGTTCAAGTGCATGAGAGAGAAAAAGTGCAGATCCTTGGAGGTAGGTATAGCGAAATATTTCAGTGCTGAACAGTAATGCAATGCAAGAAGGGTGAAGCTGCCTGCAGACAAACACACTCACCCTCTTCTCGATTCGTGAACCCCAGACTATCAAGGAATTGTCTAGAGCCATTGGCGTCCCAAAAATGTACCTTCCTCTTTGACAATTCACGGGAGTCGGTGGAGCCCCTGATAAACCAAAGCAATTCTTCCACGATACCTCTGAAGAACACCTGCAAGAGGAAACTTACATGTAAGAGTGCAAGAATGAACAGTGTAGAGCTAATAGATCATCTATCTGAACTCCACCTGTTTCGTTGTTAACAAGGGAAATGTCTCATTTCGAAGACTAAAACGAAGTTGGGGCCCGAAGACAGAGAACGTTCCAGTTCCGGTCCTGTCGGGATGCTCAACGCCCTCAGACAGTATGCAACGAAGAAGGTTTAAGTACCCCTCTTCTCCATAAATGTGTTCGGGAAAGAACAAGCTTCTCATCGGCCCTTCAGCAGCTGGATGATCCCTAGGACGAATAAAAGGTAGTATGGAATAAGGACAAAGTACTGAAAGACGGAGCAATGAAACACAATGTGGTAAACCAAGCATGGGTTAAGTGAAGTTAAACCAGTTAATAACATCAAAAAATGGTGAGGCACAGAGAAACACCAAGTTCGCTCAAGAGCAAACCGAATCCGATAAGAAGCGAGTCTCGTTTGTAAGTCATGTGGGACAAACTGCAATAGAAAGCAAACCAGCAGGCTGAATAATCACCGGAATTGCGACTAGTGATACAGAATTGCAAGAAACGTGACAAATTAAGCCGAAGCACACAAGTGTGTGTAAACCATACGCACTGCTTACCCTTTCGCATCATCATTACAGTCACTGACATCGGGCATTTTGGGTGCTGAAAATGAGGCAAAAAACAGCAGCAGTGGTAAAGTAACAATACGAACAATAACGACACTGAGTTCAAGCGAAACGGACGGAAGTAGCGACAGATGACAGTTAAAAGCCTGAAATAGGAGGACATGACAGGATCCGGAGATGAAACAAGCTTTCGCTTAATAAACGCTTCGTTTCGTGTGCCAGTAAGAGAAACAGAGCCCCCCCCCCCAGCACGTTGACTTGATAGCAAATGCTTGCATAAGCTACTAGTGCGTGGCTAGATGCTTCCAGAAATTCAGGGAACAGGACCAATTAATCATTTTTAGGCATCGCTTTAAGTTCTCCACCGTTTTACACTCTAATAATGCAGATGGAAGTTTACTCCAACTAAGCATAATGTGATTTGCGAAGAATGTGGCTCTTAAATCGAGCCTAGATCACTACTGTTTTAATTTCAGACAGTAGCACCACAAGTGGTCTGATGTAACTGGTTCAAAGAGATCACCAGCTGAGACCACTGAGACCCTCCATGATTTTGAAGGTGTTAAGTACCCTCACAATCTGCCGTTCCTAAATGAAAATAATCCCAGGTTATCTAACCAATCTTCATATGACAACCTACGCTAGCCTTCTATCATTCGAGTGGCCAGTCGTTGCATTTTCTCAGTATGAATGGTATGCGGAGAAGCATCAACCGATCATTTCATTCTATTGGGTCTCGTTGATGGTGCGCATTCACTCGGCCTCCTGCTGGAGATCGAACCGATGACCGTTGGTGGCATGCACCACTAACCAGCAGCTTATGCCACTGAGCCATGGAGGACCGCAGATGACCATCACGGAATGAAAACTAACTGCGACACAGCCCGACCCACCCCCCACTGATTTGCATGTTACTGCCCGTTCAGAGGATGGTTGGTCGCCGGGTCAGGAATTCCTTTGCCAGTGCAGTGAGGGCGCATAACATTTTGGGAACTGGTATGGGTATTGGTGCAAGCCACTAGCGGTCATCAGTTCGATCCTTAGCAAGGGACGGAGGGAATGCGCACCACTACTAGCCCCAATAAAGCGAAACGGTTGGTAGCTCAACTATGCGGCTTGTAATCTAATTGCGATGAACCAAATAAAAACATACCTGAATCCGGCTACTCATTAGTAATCAACAACTAAGCCCTGCCAGTTCTCAAAAAGCTGTATGGACTCACAGCACTGGCAAGGTAAATCCTGACCCGGACGGTTAACCGTTCCCTGCACGGGCAGTAACTTTCATGACAGTGGGGGAAGGGTCGGGCTATGTCGCAGTTAGTTTTCAATTCGTAATGCGTGGCTACCGTCCACCATGGCTCAGTGGCATAAGCTGCTGGCTAGTAGTGCAAGACACTAGCGGTCATGGGTTCGATCCCCAGTAGGAGACCTGGGGAATGCGCACCACCGACGAGCCTCGATAGTGCGAAGAGATTGTCTGGTGCGTTCCCGGATTGGTAACTCACCTATGTAATCTAATTGCGATGCGCCAAACAAAAGTATACCCGAATCCGCCTACTCATTAGCAACAAACGATTTTCTTCCGCAAGTTGGTTACCTAGGCTGGAACACCGTATTCCAAATGTGGTCTCAGCACTGCTTTATTCAAAAACAGAAAAACATGTGGCTTGGTACAAATCCGAGCCCTCCTAAATCGAAATAACACTCACCGTGCTATGTTAGCAGCATGCTTATACTACGCCAACGGCATAAATTTATTCGTCACGGTGATACCAAGATCGCATGCTTCGGTAACATGACGCAGTGTGAGGGATCGAACAGGCGCATGAAGCACGACATTTTTATCTTTCGGAGTCAACAGGTGACATTTGCTGGCGTTCAAGAGCGAATTTCACGTGACTGATCATTTATTAACCGTAGCCAAGTCTAGATGGTGTATCCCTATGGCCCTTGTTAACAAGCTTGAAATAAGCAAAAATATAAGATGGGTCCCCAAGTAGAGGAGTCAAATCATTTATAAGCATTACAAATAGCAGCGGACCGAGTACTGATCAGTGGGAACCACACTATGAGCAATGCCTTTGTTCAAAGTATCCTCGCCAACCCTAACACGAAATGTACTGCCGTAAAGGTAGGCGGACAAGCAAAAAAAACAGCAGTGTGAAATCCAAAGCAGATTCGCCGAATCAAAAACATTACTGAAGTCAAGATAATCCACTTCCACTGATATAACTTCATCGAGACATCGAGTTATATCATCAAATAAACACAGCAGGTTAGAAAGGTATCACTTCTTCCGAACGAAGCCATGCTGTTCCGATCCGGCCAAAATGCAGACGGGCAGATATTCACAGACTCGATCTTCAGTAAGCTTTACCATAAAATTAAAAAGTGCACAAGTCAGACTAAAAGGCCAGTAATTATTGAGAGAAGCTAAAAAAACCGTTAGTATCGCCACTACAACTGCTGCTTTCCAAACCTGCGGTATCCTCCCATCACGAAGAGACATGTTGTACAGTTCAACAACTGGAAGCTGGATAACATCGGCAATTAGCTTAAAAACACCTGGATGCATTTTATCAGCGGGGAGAGGTCCTTCAGGACAGACAGAACATCCGTTGCAGTTAAAGCGTTCCCCCACTTTCTCGCATTTAAGCGGTGAAACTGAGAAGAGATTGAACACAACTTGCCAGCTCGATAAACTTGATGGAGAAAAAACCCATCAACTCTTGCACTTCATCTGTCTTCTGAATTGCAACGAATGTGATTTAACCGACCACAACTTCCGTTAACGAGGATTACGACTGTGCGTAGAAGTAGTAAACTTTCGTACTACTCTTAACATTACGTAAAAGAATGGCTGAGGGTCGTGACCTGATACCTATATGGTTGGCGGCATCCGGTTACGGATTTGCCTGTCACTGTGGCCAAACACAGGAAGCCTGCGCCTACACAGGGCCATGGGTGGCTTGCGCTGCACCACCCACAGTTCCACCCACACACCCCATATCCAGTGTAAACCCGAAGGAATAAGACCGGGAGGCATGCGGATGGGAGCCACGTGTCATCAACGGAGCCGGCCCACACTCCTTCACAGGCAAACACAAGCACCCTGTATTTGGGGAATCAATCGCACACAAGGCGGTGGCTGGACCGTAGTCCGCTCTACACTGAGCGCATGGAACCACTCTTCGAGCCTAGCAAGATCACAACGATCGTGGCACCCCGTCCCCTCCAGCAACGAACATCTCCTAGAGACAGCATGGACGAGGTAGTGTGTAATAGACAGGTAGACACCTTGTCAACATGCACATCCAGCGCAACCGCACCGGGGATATCAAGCAACAGCCAATCACTTGAGAGAAAGATAACAAAGAAAATAAATCGAGTAATGCATAAGGAAACGATGACATAAATCTTAGATTAATGAGCATATGAAATAAGTTGTCTAAAAAAGAATCAGAGATCAATTAACGAGGTCGAAAAATATATTTTACGGAAATGTCACAAACACGAAAATGTTATCGAAATTTACTACAACTGGCCTAAGCGACCTGTTCAAGTATACAGAACATAGGTAGGCATTTAAATGAGAAAGAAAAGCATTAGAGCAAAACTGAAAACCCACCACCTGAAATAAATAGACTTAGCATGCAAGCACGCGATAAGTAAATCAAATGCAGCGTACCTACAAACGCTGCGCCGGTTCTGCCTACGTTCTCTGCAGAACCCGTCGGCGCTTCGATAGCAGTCCCGAGTGGCAACCCTCATGGCTCACTGGGCCTGCCTGACTCAGGCACTCGCGACCGCATGTGCTACAGCACCATGCGCTCGATGTCGATGGAGAACAACCCATCGGGGCTTGCCGCTTCCGCACTTGCCGCTTCTCTGCATGTATGAGGTCTTTCTCCCGCACTTCAGCAACTGCCTTCGTGATTAGATCGCGCCATACGCGCCGATCAACCGCCTTCGATTCCCATGATCTGCAATCAAGATTAGAACATGAGAGCTTCACATAGATAGTGTCCTGAAACCGTAACTCTCGTTTCCCCACGTGCCGCTTCCCAATACTCAGCTGACCGTATAAGAGTTGTTTCGGTATCCGAGTCGAATCCATACGCCACACATGACCGAGCCATCTCAGGTGTCTCAGCAAAAGTATGCAGTCCACTGCATACATTCCACTTCGGCGCAACACTTCCGTGTCAGCAACTCCGTCGCCCCAAATGATGCGCAAAATTCGTCGCAAACACCGCTGATGGAATTGCTCGAGATATCGCACATCCCGACGGTACATCGTCCACGTTTCGCTGCCGTGTAGAAGAACGGACAACACCATGGATTTGTACACCATCAGCGTCGTGTCAATGGTAAGCTGATGGTTGTTCCACACTCGGTACTCTGGATTCCCGAATCCCGCTGCTGCCTTCGACACGCGGATACGCAACTCAACGTGTAGCTGCTGATCAGTCGACATCACACTCCCATGGTAGCTGAAATGGGAGGTGGTTTCTAATACTTCAGCACCAATACTGATTCGCGGCAATATTGAAGATTGCACCTCCGGTGAAGGCTGAAAGAGACAGACAGTTTTGCTTGTGTTGATGGTGAGCCCGAATTTTGCCGCTGTCGAAGCCAGGGCACTAGTCATGTGCTGCAACTCATCCGCGCCGTGTGCAAACAACGCACAGTCATCAGCAAACAGCAACATACGGATAGTTGTCTCACAGACTAGAGTTCTCGCACCGAAACGACGAATGTTCAGCAACCCACCATCAATACGGTGCTCCACACGAACACCGTAAGCACAAGCGGCATCAAAAGCACAAGACAACATTGCATGAAGATATATATTAAACAGGGCAGGAGCTAAGACACAACCTTGATTCACACCAGAGACAACTGCAAAGTCATCCGAGGTCTGTCTACTCAGCTGCACCCTCGCTCGCATACCAATGTGCAGACATTCAATTAAACTTACAAATTTACACAGGCAACCAAACTTACCCAATACCAGCCACAATGCCTCGCGGG